CCCCTGTCTCTCTGTGTCTCTGTCCCCCTGTCTCTCTGTGTCTCTGTCCCCTCCCTCTGGGTCTCTGTCCCCCATCTCTCTGTGTCTCTGTCCCCTTGTCTCTGGGTTTCCGTCCCCCTGTCTCTCTAGTCTCTGTCCCTCTGTCTCTCTGGGCCTCTGTCCCCCTCTCTCTGGGTCTCTGTACCCCCTTCTCTCTCAAACACACACAATCTGCCCTGCCTCTGGCTCTCTGTCCCCTCTCCCGGGACCTCTGTTTCCCCTTTAGTGTCTCTGTCCCTTTCTCCGAGCTTCTGGATGCCCTGGCCCCCAGCCCCCAGGCAAGAGGGTTGGGAGGGGACGCAGCAGCTGGAGCGTGCAGCACAGAGCTGAGCAGGGGGCTGGTGGGGGTGGGGGAGGAGCTCCCAGAAGCCCAGGGACCCTGCCCCAGGCTGGCTCTCTGACCTGTGTCCCCACATCTGTGTCTGTCAGGTCCTGAGCTGGGGTGCAGGGGGGCATGGAAGGTGCAGACGTGAAGCCTGGGGTCCCAGGCCCCTTCCCCCTCAGCTGTGGAGGAGGAGAGCGCCACTGTGTGCGTGAGAGCCGAGGTGGGGGCGGGTGTGGGGCGGAGGTGTCACATGGCTCCTTCCAGACTCTCCATTGCTGGTGAGGGTGTGTTTGCACACGTGTGTGCACCCCTGAGGTTGCGTGGCTGTGAGCTGTGATGTGTGTGGTCGTGGACCCACGTGGAGCCAGGTGGGGCAGGTCCCTGGCCCTGTCCCAGAGCTGTAAGTGGTCCGTCCCAGTGTAGAGGGGTCGAAATGTGCAGAAGCCCATGTTTGTGTTGTGTGTCCACGTGGAGAGGTGTGTATGTGTGTCTGTGTGCTGGGAGGAGGCCACAGGTGTGCCACCAGGTCCTTTCGTGTTGTATCTGGGACTGTCTGGGCGCCCTGTGCTCTGTGTCAGCGTGCGCGGCAGTGTGTCTCCGCACAGCTTTGTGTGAGGTCAGGGAAGAATTCATCCCGTGTCTGGATAGGGCCGCTGTGTCTGCAGGTGCATGTCCTCTCTCCACCTGCCTATAGGTGCTGCCCGGACCAGGAGGGGTAGAGAAGTTGTGTGTGGTGTGTGTGTATGATGTGTGGTTTGTGTGTGGTGTGTGTACA